GGGGGCGGCCTCGTCGCCGGGACTGGATCCGCCAGGAAAGGGGCGGCGGGTGACTGCCGGCGAGAGCCCGAAGGGGATCGGGCGTTGAGAGCCCCTTTCTGTCCTGGTGAGTTATTTTGATATTTAGGGTAAAAAAATCCCTTTCAGGTTCTCCAACGGAGGAGCTTTTTAACCTCTTTCCGGTGAGGTGGGAACTCATCTTCATGATCGAATTTAAAAGAACAATGGAACCCTGACTACGTTTCAACAAAAATAAAACTTGTTTTTTTCCCTCCTATTGGGTGTTGGCTTTTAACTCTTTCAAAGCCGTTTTTGAAACGGCTGCAGTGATACATGCGAAGGTACTTGCTGCTTATTAAACCTTTATGACGTTAAGGTTGTCTTTGAAAAATGCAAGTTGGAGGAGTGCTGCTGGTATTTCAGAATTACGAAGACAAGTTTACTGTGTCGTCAAAGCTGTTTAATGGAAATAGATTTGATAATTACGGTGCTAGCTGATGACGTTTGGTTAATGTAGTTTATTTTACCGAGTAATTACGCCAAGATCATTTGATCTCCTGATATTTAAATATGATTAAATACACTGTTTGGTACTTTTTGAAAAGGTCACAAGGCGCCGTTATCTGTAACTTCTCACACCTTAAATGTTAGAACGTACTTGGGTCAATTCCTAGTCAAAAGTTCGTAATTTAATTTTTTTGAGAATGTTTATTATCACAAGCCATGATCGAAAAACTTTCACAAAAGAACATTCTGACACCAAATCTCTTCCTGAAGTTACTTTCTCGTAATGTAAATATGAATAAAGTAGGACTGCTCTCGGTAATGGGCGATGAAGAGGAGCCATATTTGTTGCATTTGTTGCATGTATAAAAATCTAGATATGCTTAAAACGGAACAGTATTTTGAAAGTACAGGTTTCATAAAATTTAGTAGAGTTCTGTGTATAGTCTCTAATCTTAAAAAAATGTTTGAAGGGTAATTTTTAAGTGTAGTGGTTTGAAGAACAAACCAGAAGCGCACAAACCTTTGTGTATTTTAGAATATATTTGTCTTCATTCTGCGGAGCTCTTGTGTTGTAAAGGTGCAGAACTACGTAAAAATAGTGTTGGGCAGACTTACATAGTACATCTGAAATCAGATACTGGTTTATTCGACCATATTTCTAAGGGCATTTTTCCAGTAAAATTGTTTTGTTTTTTGAGTAGCCTTCCTATAATGGTACATGTTACATCAGTTGCGCATATCTTGATTTTACAGAATCTGTTTTAAGTACCAATTTTGGTTTTTCAAATCAATGTTTCCGAAATTTTTGGGCACTGAAAGTGGTTTTAAATGGATATTCTGAATCTAGTTCTTTAGAATCCTCTCTGAATTGTGAAATGCAAAATAATTGCTAGCAGTTTAACCTGAAAGATCTTTTTACGTGATAAATGGGGGAGGAGAAAGACTGAAATGAAAATGTTCAAGACCCTGGTTTGAAATTGAGTAAAGGTCTAGATACTGTAAGTTTTAGAATAGCTTTAAAGACAAAGCTAATATCCCACTTGGTGAGATCAAGTAACTTGTGATTTAAAATTTAAAGTAACCAGTGGCCATTTTAACTTCACTAATTTCTCTTGGAGGAGCTAATTTCTAATTGCTCATAATTGTAAAAGAGATTTCTGGATGGTAAGGGAGATACTAAGATGATTTGTCTTGAAGAATGGTAAACTTTTTCTTTGTTTGTTTATTGCCTGTCATAAAAAGAGGGAAAGTTAAAAAAAAAAAAGATTCGTAATCTTAAATCAGTCCAAAAATTTGAATTTTCTGTATTTCTGTTTAATTCAATGTATTAATCTTCAGTATTGGTCAATACAGCCAAAAGATGAGGAAAACAAAGACTGATAGATACTAAGATAAATAACTGCAACCATAAATGTACAGGTTGTGTGTCGATGAGGCGTCTCTTCAATTTACCCATAGATTTTTGTCTGTGGAATATTTTCTTGTTTCATCACACTGAATCGTTGGCCAAGAAATGTTTAAAATTCAAAACACTAATACCATCTTTCTTCTTTTTTTTAAAGGTGACTTAGAGATTAAAATTAATTTGGTTGCTGATGGTTCTGAACAAATAGAGTTCTTTTATTTGAGGTAAGACTGGGTTTTTATTGTTTTGACAAAAATTAGCTTAAGTTTTTGTTTTATTCTTTAATAATTTACATTTCAATTAATCAGTGAATGGTATCATTTAAAAAAGTTGTGATTATGAATATGAGTAAACTATCTGAAATAATTTGACAAAGCCTTTAAGCCTTTTCACTGCAGGAAAGATTAAAAGCATATATGCATAGCCATTGTAACTTAACGTACCCTTTGAATAGTTTAAAATACTGAAGGTCCTTTAAACCTTGTTTAATTTTGGGAACAAGAGAAGACTGATTAGATTTGGAGGAAAACCATGAACCAAAGATAGCTTTTTTTCTGTTGAACTCTATATACTGTGCAAACAATTTTAATCTTTTAAGTATTTAAAGAAATAAGCTTATTGGAGAATTTGAACTAGTTTGCTGTTCGTACTAACAGATTTTAGGGAAGAATGTTTAAAAAATCAGGTTTTGAGCATAGATTTTAAGTTTCTTTTTTGTAATTAAGAAGTTTAAAAACACTTAGTTTTACTTGCTATTGTTTGCTTCATAAGTAAGTTTAGAATCTTTGTTTTCACCAAAAGGTATGCCATTTTGAAGACTGAGACATTGGAGTTTTATCCTTGAGGATAAAAGAAATCTTTGGGAAAGTCAGTATTTTATATAGCAAGTAAGTAAATGTTTTTACGCAACATCTGCAGTTGAATAGTTACCAACATTTAAGTGAAAAATATCACTAAAGTTTGTTAATGAAACAAACTGTAGACTGTTTATCACTGAAAGGATGAGAAAACCATCAAATTCTTTTGCCTGACATTGAAACACTTCTGTTACTATTAAGACAGTCGATGCATGTAATTTATATTGGAGCAGGAAGACATTTAGTACTGCTTAATAAAATGGTGCTTTAGGATTGTGGTTAAATCTGCAGTAGAGTCATCAAGATTATGTTTTTACAAATCTGGTATATACAATCTTCAGCCTTTTTTTTTTTTGATTGTACAGATCACATTTTAGGAATGGTCTGGAATTTTGCATTTGCTGATCGTAGGATTGTTAACTACATTTCAAAAACTAAATAGTTTCATATCTTAGTCATTTAATAGATTTAAAATACTCATTTTACTTGTTTTCATGAGTTTTCAGACAGGTCCAAAAATGTGGTGTTTTCTGGGAAATTAGAGTTAATACATATAAAGAGTCCTCTAATTTAATTGCTTAGTAATTGCTTTTAAAGCATAAAAGGTAGAAATAATTTTCACATGCAATAGGTATTGGGCCTCTAACATACCATGTATATCACATTTTGAAATCTTAAAGCTAGATATGTGAATTTAAAAAAATGTCCACGGATATTTTTAAGGAAATATGCCTTTTTTAGAAGTTAACGTTGAATCTGAAAATTAATGTCAAGCTGTTATTAGTGATTGACTAGAGGAAATACGCGGTGTAATAATGGGTATCTTGGGAAATTTTAAGAATTGCCAGATGATCAATTAAAATAAGGGCAAGTTTACTTTTCTTCAAAATTTATGTGGAAAATAAAATACAGTCTTTCAATGCTTGATGTTGCCTTATTCTATTGATTGAAATAGGTGATAAGAGGAATATTTTTATTGCCTTTGCTTCAGCTTAACTTTTGAGTCCTTTTTTGCAGTTCGATCAAATTTGGGTGTGTTACAGTGTGCAAGAGAAAACTAAATGTTTGACTTTTAACTGTAGTGTTTTAAAGATACAACATTTAAAAGAACAGTTGAAACATCCTTCACTTCAAAACTTTAACACAAATGCCAAGATTAGGGTTTCCTCCGTGCAATTGATGTAATATTAAATTGGCATTCCTGTCATTGGGCACTGTTATGGAAATTAAGAAATGGGTCTCTTATGTGAAGCATAATCTTTGTTTAAGTATAAACAGGCAATACATTTATAATGGCCTATGGAAGGTGTAATTTGATTAATAAAAAAACAGCTAGAAAGGGCTAGAAATGTTGAATCAAAGATCCACATGTACTTAGATCTTTGTTAGTGCTTATATTCAGTGTTTTGATATTTACTGCTTGAGACGGTCTTGTATAATGAACATAATTGATTGGCACATGAGGTCAAATGTAAATGTAGATTATTATAGATACATAATATTAGATAAATATAGTGGATCCTGTAGATGTGATATTAAAGTACTGTATTTTGTAAGGAAGGTGGATTATTATTTATTTACCACTGTTTTCTGCTGAAGAACCAGAGTGGTGCTTACATATTTGTTTCTACTCTAGCATTTTGGGATAATTCTTGAATCATAAAAATCTGATCAACTTTGTGATTGAATTGGATTGCATTAGTTCTGATAAAAACTGTTTAAAAAATTACCTGACGTTCTATAGAAACGAAAGGAGACATGCTGTGTAATCACAAGGCTTTCATGACATGACATGACATTTATAGATTATATAAAATAGGTAATTTCAAATGTAAATTTTCTTCTAAGTTTTATTTACTATTATTCATCATTTTTTGATTATTTAAAAATTTGTACTATGGACAACTAATTTTACTTTTTATCCACTGAGATTTGATTGTGGAGTGGCATAAGGGGGAGAAAGATAGTTGAGGACATCTCTTTATCTTTTGTTAATCAGAAGTGGTGATAGAGTGGAAAATATAACACGTTTCAGCAATCAGGAGACCTACCTTCTAATGTAAATAAGCCTTGCAGTCTTGACATTTTGTTCCTTTTGTACCTTCATCTCATAATTTGTATGAAGACTTTAGAGTTCCAAGCTTTTAAGATCCCTATTAGCTATCAAATTGTGGGATTAAAAAAATTGTTAAGCATGCCTAATTCTCTTATACAAACTTTGTAAATTGATTTCAGAGAAGCGATTAAGGAATTAATACTGTCTTTAAACACTGTTTAGAATGCTTCAATAAAAGCATTTAAAAAAATTTTTCTAATGATGTAGTAAATGTATCTAATATAAAGTTAAGTGGTTTTAATATTTTTCACCTGGCCATGATCATGTTATAAATAAGAGGATTTATAGTTTTCATGCCTGATATAATCTATTTAATTTCCATTACAAAATTTTTGTACATCAAAGATAAATATCTTCATTTTACCAGCTACCTCCTTCCAGATTGAATGCTTCAGTGTACTTTGATTTTCAAATTGGCTATTTTTTTAATGTAATTAACCTTTACAATTTAAATTGAAGGATATTCTGATCCTTAGGTTATAAATATATGACTTGATGATTTATGTAACATTCAAGTAGCATGTTTTCTATAACAATACGATAAAAGTTTTGATATATACCTTGTATGTTGCTTGACATATCTGTGTTTTAGAAAACATTCCTCTGCCTTTTGAAACGAAGCTATGTATTTGAAATTATTTCCCAAACAATTATATCTTTAGCGTGTACTACATAGTAATCATAGTCATTTTAATTTAGATTATAAAGCTATATTTTAACTTTGAGGTTTGTGAATTTTCTTAGACATATTAATGACTTTATAGTTAATGGTGCTCTCAGGTTTTATTTTTAAGTTAAAAATTGGCCAGGCGTGGTGGCTTACGCTTGTAATCTTAGCACTCTGGGAGGCCGAGGCAGGCGGATCACCTGAGGTCAGGAATTCGAGACCAGCCTGGCCAACATAGTGAAATCCCGATCTCTACTAAAAATACAAAAAAAAAAAAAAAAATTTAGCTGAGCGTGGTGGCACGCACCTGTAGTCCCAGCTACTTGGGAGGCTGAGGCAGGAGAATCGCCTGAACCTGGGAGGCAGAGGTTGCAGTGAGCTGAGATCCACACTACTACTGCACTCCAGCCTGGGCGACAGAGTGAGACTCCATCTCAAAAAAAAAGTAAAAATATTGTTTTAAAAACCAAGTTTTCTAAGAAAAGCATAAATGACTAATAATAAGACAGTTGACTAAAGCCGTCCTTACCGTTTAAAAGAACAACCAAAATATGTATATTATACCTGTAAGTTATTAAATCTGAAACTATGATATTACGAAATAGGATAGGTGGGAATATGAGCAAAATCGTCAACTTTGATAGTCTACCTAAGCTGAATTTTGCTCCCTTTTCCCCTCTTTCCAAGGATGGCAAAGTGATTTTAGACTTTGTCAATTTTGGTTGTTAGTAATTTTTGTGAGTGATGCATGGGGAAGGAGATGCTATGGTAGATTACGTTAGTGTCAGTAATTTTTGTGAAGATGCAAAGTGAGATATGTTTTCTGTCTTTGGTGGTGTGAGAACCCTATCTACTGGTAGATAACTTATTTATAAGCTCATCAGAGCAGTGTGAGGGATTTCCCTTAGACATTTCTTTTACCAAGATTCCTTAAGTCAATTCTACCCTTCTTTTAAGGGTTTACTTGGTTTACGATTTGTCTTTCTTCACAAAACCTTCTGTTACTTATAAGATCAGATTAAATTTGGAAGATTAGAAATATGTTGTGTTCCTTTTAAATTGCTTCATTTGTCAATTTCTTGGGAAGATAATTTAGCACCTACTCTTAGAGTAATTTTGAAGCAGATCTTTGCTATATTTCTTGATTATGATCTGTCTGAATGACTAAAGGAATTTAGATTTGGGAAGATAAACAGAGACTTGCTCTATAAATTTGAAAATTAGTCCTAAAAAAGCATTTGGGTAGTGTAAAGTAAATTCTAATCTTTATTTCCTTCTAAAAACCTTAAATTGCTACATTTTGTTTTTCTTTTTGTTTTTGGAGATGGAGTCTTGCTCTGTTGCCCAGGCTGCTGGAGTGCAGTGGTGTGATCTCAGCTCACAGCAACCTCCGCCTCCGGTTTTCAAGTGATTATCCTATCTCAGCCTCCTGAGTAGCTGGAATTACAGGCGTGCACCACCACATCCGGCTAAGTTTTGTATTTTTAGTAGAACTGGGGTTTCACCATTGTTAGCCAGGCTGGTCTTGAACTCCTGACTTCAGGTGATCCACCCAGCTTGGACTCCCAAAAGTACTGGAATTACAGGTGTGAGCCAGTGTACCCAGTCCATTCTCAAAGTGAACTTTTAAATAAGTTTTCTTTTTGGGGGTGGGATGATTATTGTAATCATACTTGGGAACAGGAGTGATGAGAAAAGTATATAAGTTACTTGAGAATATGGGAAACGCTGTTTTCCATGTTTAGTTAAGTCTGACTAGTGGGAAGTATGGATACATTTTATTTATTTTTTGAGACGGAGTCTCGCTCTGTTGCTCAGGCTGGAGTGCAGTGATGCGATCTCAGCTCACTGCAACTTCTGCCTCCCGGGTTCAAGTGATTTCCGGCTAATTTTTGTATTTTTAGTAGAGACGGAGTTTGACCATGTTGGCCAGGCTGGTCTCAAACACCTGACCTCAAGTGATCTGCCTGCCTCCACCTCCCAAAGTGCTGGGATTACAGGCGTAAGCCAGCGGGCCTGGCTGGATAAATTTTTATTATCAAGCATATATTTTAGGAATGATTAGTGTTGGTTTAGTTGAGTAGATTGGTACAATTAGTTTGAAATGATGCCTATGGTTTCCTATCATTTTGTCTTAGTGTTGATTAAAGACATAAAAATCTGAAATAATATGGTAATACTAAGGAATGAGAAAGTGGCCTTACAGGTGGGCAGTGTAAGCTTTCCTGTAGAAGAATTGAAAGTAAATAGATGTAAGACTAGAAAGTGAAACAATTCTGTACTGTAGGAGTGATGTTGACTCTGTTAAATAACTAGTTCCCAACTGTCAGATCCACCTGGGGAGCCCAAATATTTACCTACGTTTTTGGAGTTCTTAGGGGCTGAAACTTATGCTTGTGATTTTGTAGTAACATTCTACAGAGGAGACTCTTGTACAGCCAAATTTGTGATACTCAAGAGCTTGTATGTTTTCTGCTTGGACTATATTGTTAATAAATGCATATATCTTTTGGTCTGTTGGCAGATGATCCTTGCAAGATGTTGACATTTTGAGTATAAATCATGGTGCTTAATAATCTGTTTTCGTTTTTTATGTATAAAATTAAATTCTTTTTGTCCTCTGCAGAAATAATGAACCTCAAACTGAATCCTCTAAAGGCCCCATACAATGAAGTAGACATTGGTGGAAGCATTTAGTAAGTATTACTCAATTTACATGTTTAATCTGTTTAAAAAGTTTAAATACTACTTTGGAAATTTTGAAAATTCGAGTCAGAATTGTAAATAAAGGGATTTAGTGAAACAACACAGTACAAGAAAATCAACATGGAGATTTTGCTTATTAATTTACTCCAATCTATTATTTTCTGCTTTCTTCACCTAGGCGAGTTAAAATGCAAACAACCCACATTTGAACATACCTCTAACACTATTATGAACGTGGATGTTGATAAATGGTTCCTCTTTGTTTTTGTAAATAAAGTTTTATTGCAACACAGCTATACTCTTTCATTTAGTTGTTGTTTGCAGCCGCTTTCTCAGTATAGCAGCAGCAAGCAGAGGAGTTGTATTGAATGGCCACAAAGCCTAAAGTATTTCCTGTTTCATCTATAGGGAAAGTTTATCCTAGGTCCTACAGCTATTCCTTTTGTTAAGCGTTGCCTTAACCTGTATAGAACTCAGAAGCCCTTGGGTTCTCTTTTGGTAATAGAACATAATCTTTAATGATTTCCAATATTATAATTACTTCTAATTAATTAATTTGGAAGTTAAACTTGAAAGCCTAACAAAAAGTTCTTTAGCCTGATTGTCCCTGAAGTTATGCTTTGATGTTAGAAGACATGGTTACTACCTCTGGAATAGTTTTTCTGACAGCCTGAAAAATAGTTGGAAAGAGTTGATGGGAAGGTTGTATAAATGAATTTTGGTGAATTCTCAACATTATTTATTATTACTATATTTTTTGAGACAGAGTCCCACTGTCACCCAGGCTAGAGTGCAGTGGCGTGATCTTGGCTCAGCACAACCTCCGCCTCCAGGCCTGAAGCGATTCTTCTGCTTCAGCCTCCAGTGTAGCTGGGATTACAGTCACACACCACCATGCCCAGCTAATTTTTGTATTTTTAGTAGAGGTGTGGTTTCACCATGTTGGCCAGGCTGGTCTTGAACTCCTGACCTCAGGTGATCCGCCCACCTCAGCCTCCCAAAGTGCTAGGATTATAGGTGTGAGCCACCATGCCTGGCCAACATGATTTATTATTGACAACCTTTTTGGTAATTATATATTAGCTACTTCATAAAAATACTTTTTTTTAAATCACATTTGGGAATCTAAATTTTAGATGATAATTTTTGCCTATGGCTACTTTAGCTTGCATTGTGTAAATGGCTACTAGGGCCTGCAACAATATTTTTGGAGGGGGATTTGTTTTTTGATACGGGATGATGAAAGAGATGAAAACTTTTCTAATATAGTACAATTATTGGCTGTGGTCATTTTAAAGAGATCAGTTACCTGGCAAATAGTGGATGCTCAATAAATACTTAGTGTATCAATACAGCTTCTGTTAAACATTGTTTCTCAGCTAGTGTTTGGGTTTAATTTAAAAACAGACATTCACGATTAAAACAAGTTTTAATGAATTAATAAATATTAAATTTTAGGCATGCCTGAAAGGCAAAATTTTGACTAAGTAAAAATTAAAAGTGACAAGACTTCATTTTTTCTCTGCAATTCTCCATCTCTTAGTTTGCATATATAGTCAAGTTTTAAACCAATGAGAACAGTATGGAATATTTGATTTGATTGTAAACCTTAAATAAGATGACTCCTTTTCTTAGTTGTCATAATTGACATTCATTTTATAGTTAGTTTTTATGCCGATAAGACCCAGACTTGTTAATATATATTCTACTGAAGATTCAAGGTTATCTTGGTAATAAGACAACATATGTTAATTTACTGCTCAGGGCTTTCTTTTTTTTTGTCCCAAGAGGGAGTTTCACTCTTGTTGCACAGGCTGGAGTGTAGTGGCGCCATCTCAGCTCACTGCAACCCCGCACCTCCCAGATTCAATTGATTCTCCTGCCTCAGCCTCCCGAGTAGCTGGGATTATAGGCGTTTGCCACCACGCCCAGCTAATTTTTGTATTTTTAGTAGAGATGGAGTTTCACCATGTTGGCCAGGCTGACCTCGAACTCCTGACCTCAGGTGTTCGAACTCCCGACCTCTGACTCCGAACTCCCGGCCTCTGCTCGGCCTCCCTAAGTGATTGGATTACAGGTGTGAGCCACTGTGCCTAGCCTCTCAGGGCTTTCTTACATAAATATTTTCACATTTAAAGACAGACAAAGAAGATTGAAATCATCATAAGCAGCAAGAATGTTAGTTACATGAGGAGAAGGATGAATTTTTGCTCTAGGTAATTTTACACCTGTTTGTCCCATCATTGGCTTTGAAATAAGTGTTTAGGTTTTAAAATAATTTGTTACATTAATAATAGTAGCTTTATGATAGTCATCCATTAAGACAATTAGGAGTCACTGATTTCTTTTTCTTTATACTACTCTCTGTCCCCCCACCCCATTTTTCTTTGGTATTAAAAATGGGAAAATTTGCTGAGAAGTAGAGGAAAGGAGATGGTTTATTTTAGGGGAGTCCTCCTAAACCCAATCCAGATGGTGAATCACTACCTGTGTATCCACCAGCAATGTATTTTATCATGTCCCAGTGTTTTTAGAACAAATTTACTAAAGTAGAATTTAAAAAGAATACCAGGCCAGGCGTGTGGTGGCTCAGGCCTGTTATCCCAGCACTTTAGGGAGGCTGAGGCAGGCGCATCACAAGGTCAGGAGTTCGAGACCAGCCTGGCCCACATAGTGAAACCCCGTCTCCACTAAAATTACAAAAATTAGATAGGCATGGTGGTGTGTGCCTGTAGTCCCAGCTACGCGGGAGGCCGAGGCAGGAGAATCGGTTGAACCCAGGAGGTGCAGGTTGCGGTGAACCGAGACGGCGCCACCGCACTCCAGCCTGAGGAACAGAGGGACTCCATCTCAAAAAAATAAAAAATAAAGCCTTAGTTGGGTGCAGAGGCATATACTTGTGTTCTCAGCTATTGAGAAAGCTGAGGTGGGAATATCTCTTCCACCCAGGAGTTTGAAACCAGCCTGGGCAACGTAGTGAGACCTCCATCTTAAAAAATAATTAAAAATACAATGAAGAGAAGACCTCCATGTTCTACTTTATGTTCTTCTGGATGTATGATATGTGGGAATTTTAAGGGGTAGTACTCACTCACTGAAGCTTTGTTGCCATTTAAGTTTTTACCTTTGCTGTGGGAATGGTACTCTTAGAACATGCACATTATTTTAAAAAGGAAGTATAAACTAATTAATATCAAAGGGGAAAAATTTTTAATCATTTATATTATAAGCTTGAAGGTTATATGTGAAATATAGAAAAGATCTAGGTTTGTCTGATGGAGTTCTAGATCAAAACATCTCTTCCATGTCTGCAGTAATTCACAAGTTACTGGAAAGGAATGCGTAGAGGGCTTTGATATCTAAACCCTACCCAGTTTTCTGTAGAATTTTGATTTTAATGCAAGACTGCTGACCCCATGATCCTGTATGTTCTTCAGAGATACTCTTACTGATGATACATAAATGAACTTTGATTCAGTAAGGTCAGTTTGTAGGTCTCAGAATACTTCGGTTATTGTGGTATATCAGAATGATAGCTAACATTTACTGAGATCTTTCTATATGTCAGGTAATATAAGTCCTATATAAGTATTCTTTCTACAGCTACAAGAGGTAGGTACTATTTTTATTTTACAGATGAAGAACTGTGGATTTTGTTTCTGAGAGAATTTCCAGGCTCACAGAACTAAGCCTGATTTCTTTTTTGTATTTTTTAGCATAACTTTGCTTATTTGCAAATAAAGTTTTTATAAGAATTTGAATTCTATGAAAATAAATGGATTACTCCTAAATCTCTGATGCTTGAGTGAACACTTTTCCTTATTAACAAAATTCTCACTTTTGGCTTTGGATTGGCTTTGCAGGAGTGCAGATTGATCATAGCTTTTTTCATGTCCTTAAAGTTGTCAGAGTTTTCTCTTGAGGCATTCTTTTCTTAACTTTTTTTTTTTTTTTTACTATCTTTAAATATATGACTGTGAGAGCATGATAAATATGCTATTTTCTAATCTCTGCTGTTGTCACATAAACCAATGTATTTTATTAATTTTGAAATACTAATAATGTCATTAGATTTTCTTTTGATTTTTTTAAAAAAATAATGGATTTAGAAGGAAATCTGGATAAATTTTATCTGTCTTGTGTCAGAAAAACATAAAACTTGAGTTTTTTAATTAAGGTACCAAGATGAATAAATTGCATCTACAGATATTGAAATATGACTAATTTGATATTAATGCATTCTCAGTGTCATCGTTCATCATAATAGTATTTACATCACCAACTTCATTTAGAGCTTGAACCTTGTAACAATAGAGATTGAAAAGAAATTGGGTTGTAATTAACTGTTTGACAGAGAATGATGTTTTTACTTTTATACTTCTCTATAGAAGTACATGTCCCTTAATTTTAAGCAATGAACAAGTCAGATGGAAGATATTTTACTGAGATCAGGAATGAATTGAGTAATTTAGTTTTCTTTTTAAAGCTGGGGAGAAATGAGCAAGATCAATTAAGGAGAAATACCTTGCTTTTGATATTTATTACTGATGCTGTGACACTCCCTTTAATCAATGTTTTTTTAATATGGGTGGCATATCTCGGTTAAGCAAATAGTTAAATAGGTAGATTTTTGTATTGTGTGTAGTAAACAGTATATCCTAATTATTGCCAAGGAGACAAGGAAATTACCTAATGGGCTAAAATGTCCTTAAATTTACCTCAAATTCAGTCACCATTGACTGTATCTCCACAAATTCAGTTGGAGAGCTGGAAAATTTATAGAGAAGGCCAGGGTTTAAATCTTGTTTTTTCAAATTATATTTGGTCATGATGAATCTGAATCATTTATTTAATGGTAAAATCATCTGACTTCTCACTTCTCCCTTCAGTTCAAATTATTTAAGTAATGGATTTATTTTTCTGTGAGACATTTGGTATTTTGGTAATGAGAGAGTATTATTTTAGTTGCATATAATTTGAAAACTGATAGCATTTTATGGCAGATCTATCAAGCCAGGCAGATATTTTGCATTTTTGATTTTTTTTTTTTTCTGGTGGCTACATCTTTTCTGTATTCTCAGATATGTAGTTAAAGATGGTGTCACCTATAGTGGCCATTTCATTATCTAAACAAAACATCTATTGGATTGAAAAACTATGCTATGATCCACTGCTTTATGTGTGTGTGTGTATGTGTGTGTGTTTTTTTTTTAAAATCCCTTAAGATTCTTTTCTATAATTAGTTTTCTTTGAAGAAGCTTGGAAAGTTTTCTGCATTGAGATTTAGAATCCACAGTGTTTCTGTAATTTAGCTTTCCAGGAATTTTGAATTTTAATTTTTGTTTTTACTTTTTATGTACACAGTATAATGATGTTAGTGTTAAATATTAAAAATCTGACTCTTCACTGGGACCTTTTTATAGATACTAATGTATCTGTGGTAGTACAAGGACTTTGTTACTTTGGTGTGCAGTCTTATGGAGGAATTGTGTGTGTGTTTTGCATACAACTTTAATATACAGTTTCATAGTTGAAAGCTGTTACAAAATTAAAGTTTTGTGTATGGTAGGATATCTTCAAGGTGGGTGGCTGTTTTCTGTTTAAAAGATTAAGATTCCAACAGCATTTTTTTCTTTTAATTTTTTCATCAAGCACCCAGTCAGCTTGAAGAGTTTCAAATGGACCCTACCACTGAGAAATCAAGATGGCAGTCTACTATGGGGAATTGAGAAAAATGGATTAATACAAGAGTCCTGTGATAATACACAACCAAGACAGGGTTCTTTTAACATGGATTCCATGCAGTGAATGAAGACATAGGTTTCTTATCCAACACAAATGGACAGTGGATTTGACTTTCTAAAGACTTTTTTTTGTGGACATTTTGACATTTGGAGAAGGAGGATGGCACACTAACACAGATAATAGTTTTTATACCTGGAATTTTTTGTAGTTTGATTTGTATGAGTATGACCTCTTGGAATGTTAACTTTAATAAAATTTATAACACTTTAAAATTTCTCAGTTTGGGCTTTTTTTTTTTAAGTGGAAGTTTCATTAAATGTTTACTTTTATTTTAGTAATACTTTGACCTTTATAGTTGCCAAGTGGTGAAGTGTACTGAATAAAGCTGGTAAATTGGAAATGGTGTAATCAAAAACATTTTACTTGGTTTATGAAGATTTATCATTTTTCACAAAGTTGTGCTCTTAGATGGTCATTTGGTTTAAATACTGTTTTGTTTGTGCTTTCATGAAACACCTTTCAAAACAACTCAATGGGTAATAATAGAATCTGATTTTAATCTGCCACAAGATTTTAATGAACTTGAAACAAACTGCTTGTTGCTCCAAAATTCAGAATGAGGATACACATATACTTCTGAATTATTTTGTGTTGATTGAAATGGTTTCTTAAGCTTTTTAATACTATAAATACATCTTGCTATAGAATATTCATCTGAATATTTAAACTGATGTCTCCTATTGTCTTACTATAAGAAGTGTTGGATTTATGGGTTAGGGTCCTTGGAGTATTCACAATTTTTTACATTCATAATTATGTGTGTAATCCATTTTCTATAACTTTGAGGTAAGATTAATATCTTGTATTGTCTTTATTTTGTACAATTGGGAATTTAGATGAAATGAACTGCACCCTGCCATAGATTACTTAACGTTTGATTTTTAAATGCCAGGTTTTCATTTATTACTAATCAACTGATACCAGTTTTGGTAACTGTTACAAAGGTGGTAGGTGTTATTTTGATAGACAAAATGAGTTGTTGATTCTGTTTTCCCATTTTACATGAGACGAAGAAATAGTTCAGGTTAAATTGTTTTGTGTTAATCATATTGTTTGTGATTAATGTCAAATACTGCAGCATACACATCCATGGTCAATACACGTGCACTATTTTGTTATTGACTGATGTGAGGTGGTTGGTCTTTGTTACATTCAAAAACAGAATTTTGGATTTTGATCTTGGTACAAAATTTATCTTTGTGTAGAGAGTATGGAATTGAAACAGTTTGGATTATGGATTTTACCTAGATTGGACATTGTCGCTTTTGTTTGGTGTAAATCTAAAATGGATTTCTTCAGTGAGGGAGGGACATGGTTCTGGCAGAAAGGAAAGCTGATTGGATTTTTTTGGGTGTATGAATATGCTTGTCTGAATGGAGTGCTTGGTGAGAGTATTGTTTTTGGAATTAGTAATTTGTTTCTGTGGATCTCATGGTCTTGATAATTAGGAGAATTTGCTTTGTGCCATTAACTTTGATAATTTGCAATCAGGTATGTCCTATTGTTAATAACATTGTTGAAATGGGTGTGTATACTTACTTGATTTGAAATACAAGGGAAGTGTTGGAGTATGTGTTTTCTGTTGGATTTGGAGGTGGAGTTTCTTGGGTTACTGATTTAAAGGTGATCATGGTTGGCCCATACTCTTGAATTTAAAGATATTTGTTTTGCCTGAATCAGTGTGGGAAGTAAATATATTGTGATTATGAGAAGTTTCTTTGGGAGGAGGAGTGTAATATTTTCAAGGTTATATAATGGGTTAAAGAATTTTGTGAAAGAACAAAGAAAAATGGATATTTTTGAGTAAAAATTGGTTGCATTAACTTTTGCTCCAATGCAACTGAACACTAGGGAGGCGCTCTTGAGTTGTAAAAATTACCCCTTTCTTCCAGTTGAGATGGAAAATTCCCCCTTAAATTTTGTCTTTAGATTATTTTTAGGCATCATAAAGAAGGAAAAACTTGAATTTAGTTTATGAAATTAAGGTTTTACTTTTATTTAGCAATCATTTTACCCATTGGGGGATTAATTTTTACAAAGATTAGTACTTAAGCTGAGCTTTAGATTCTCTAAGAATTATCCCTTTTTCAAAATGGCTTGATAAAACACCACTTCCTGTCCAGGGAGGAAGTTATTTTAGCTCAAGGACTGAAATATTTAGCAGATCTTTAGACAAAAGGAACAAATTACATTTCTCTCTGGCTTAAAAAGGGTGCTTGAGCCAGAGGGGGTTAAGAAGCCCTCCCCCCTCCCCCTGTTGGGGTGGTCTGGAGGGGCAGGGAGGTGTGGGGGTGGGGGTCCTTAGGCTCCCTGGGATGGAGGATCTCTCTCTCTCTCTCTCTTTTTTTTTTTTTTGGTGGAGATGAAGGGGTGGGTCTATGGTACATCACCTGAGTTGTGGGGTAAATGTAGAGAGTGTCAATCAAAGGCAGAGCTCTCAGAGCTGGGAAGGAGGCTCTAGATGGCGGCTGTGCCTTAGAGAGAGCGCGCTCTGCTCCCTGCCTTTGCCTCACTTTACGCAACTTTCCCTAACTTTCGGGCAGCCTCAGGGGGCCCCCGTAGCCCCCTGCCTTTCCTAGTGACTTACTGGGGTCGATTCGAACCTTTTTTTGGGAGAAAAGCAGCTTTTAGGAGCTTTCTTTTCGTGCCTTGTTGGAAAGAAGCAGCCGTACTGAGAGCCCAGGTCGTTGTTTTTTCCAGCTTAGAAGCCATGGCGCACCTCCATTTTTGTGCGCTCTCCTAATGAGGTTTTTTTTCTTTCGGACCTGTTTTAGTATTAATTATTGCTTTATTTTTTTGACCATTTAACATATTTGAGGGTTATTTTATTTATTTTTCGTTTTTTAACGGAGGATTTTGCCTTTATTTTTAATTATCTGGGATCTGATATTTTTCTACTAGTAGATAGGACTCTTGCTTTGGACATACTACATGGATCAGGTAAGTTCACGATCATTGGTGATAATTTTAAAGATTTATTTGTTAAAGTTTGCCTTGTTTTCTGTAAATACGAGAAATTCTTGGATGACGCAATAAGATACAGAGATTGTTATTTGTATCGAGTGTGCTACTTTGAGAAAGTTTCCTTATTGATAGTGATGCTTCCACTGTTCGGTTTATCCTGTTGTTTTTTCTTTTAAGGAAAAAATAGAAATATTTAGTTTTTTGGTGCTTACCGTTGTTGTATTATAACAATATCGTTAACATCGTCAGGACTTTGTTCCTGATGATAAAAAGCATCGATAGAAGCCGGGACCTTACCTTTCTTTCAACTTTTGACAGTAAATACCTGGGCACAGGACTTCAAAGCAAACACAGATTCCCCCTCCCCCTTAATATTTAAGAATTAAAAGATGATGAGAAATAAGGACAAAAGCCAAGAGGAGGACAGTTCGCTACACAGCAATGCATCGAGGTATGAGCTATCAACTTTCTTCCTTTTTGTCTTTTTTTTTTGGGGGAGAAACCTCAGCTTACAATTGTTTACCTTGACAGACATGGATTGCTGTCTGTTTTATTGTGTTTTTCTAATTTGGATTCGTTTTTTAAAGCATGACCTTGAGATTGCTAATATGCCACACCCTAATTTTTTGGTAGCAATTTATGAAAGTTGAGTTGTGACTTAAGGCCTCTTACAGCAGTCAAAAGGTAAGGTACCTTTATTCAAAGGGGCCTTTCCTGTAATGTACAGTTTTTCTGTCAGTAAATTTCAGTTTTTAGGTTTTTGTACTGCAGAAAAATGACCTTGTCGGTTTAGCCATTGCTGCATTGCACCATTTTACATACAAGGCAAATTTTTTCTTTGAAGAATCCAGGATATCTAAACTTGTAACTGAGGGCCATAGAGAAGCCTTGTAGTAGTAAATTATAGTAAATAGACATTTCAGAAAGTTATATGAATGAAAAAATGTACATTTAAAAACAAAATCACTTAAAGGACCCTTTGACTGATGCCTCTCAGTTTATATTTTTATGTGACTTTGTATTTCTTTTGATATACTTGACATTTTAGGAAATTTTGATATGATTTATCAAAACCTTTACTTGATGGTTAGAGTTCCTGCATTTATGAAATCAAATCTGTAATAACAGAAATCCTGGAATACTCTTAATATACTGCTATTTTGTGTTTGTTATTGTGATCATATTTACAGTTGTATATTTTACATTTAAATTATTTTAAGGTTTGCATTTGTATGCTTAAGACATTGATTTCTTGTTGGTAGATGTATTTTATCCTCACATTTTAGATGTAGCTGCTTTAAATTTACTGATGTATTTTGACAGAGTCGTCTGGAATGCTTTATCTTCTGAAGCTTACAAATGTACTGTTTGTGCAAATCATGATTTGTTTCACATTCCTTGGAGTACCTTATTAGTGATGAAGTAATAAAGCCTCTAAGATGTTTTTGTTGTATGACCTCTGTATATTAATTTTAAAAAGTACATATGAATGCATTTTTTTGTGTTCTTAATGCATTTTCATATTATAAATTTTAAATCATGTAGTTTAACAAGGATGTGATTCATTATGTGATTTTCCTTCCCAATTTTCTTTTTACTTTTCTCATTTTTATAAATAATACACTCTTCTATTAGGCTAGTGAATTTGAAAGTTTTGAACATGACATATTACTAATCTGCTGAATTCTATTTATTTTATTTGACTAAAAGCATATTGAGCCTTGCTTTAGAAAATAAGTTACCAAATTTTTTTGCAAATTGAGTTGTCACCCAGTTTGTAGTGCTGTCTTAATTGAATTGCCCATGTAAATTATTAGATTAAATTGAGGACAGAAAAGTTTTGTACTCATCCTAAACTGTTTTTTCTGGAAAGTAATGACAATTTGAAGAAATGAAAACCTCCAGGTATATCTGGCAAATTATTAAAGATTCAACACTAAAATTGTTGCTCCCTTGAGTGTATCATTTGCATAGGTCTCACATGGGTTTTGGCTTTCTTATGCAAGGTTTGTGGTTAACATCATTGATCAGACTGTGCTTTCTAATTTTAAAAAATTGAGCAGTGTTGGTATTCTTTCAGTATTTTTACTCTCACCTGGAAAACTAGTTGTCAGGCATTTGCCTCCTGGTAGTGGAGGTTACAGCTGAACATGAAGCATGTACTGACTGTACTTTTGAAATCATTTGTCAAGTGTACTTTGAATCATATACCTGATGGATTTCCAAAAATATTTAAGACACTCTTTGA